TAAACGATCGAGTTGACTCTAACCCAACTAGATTTGATGAACCACGTGTGAAAGCCAGTGAAAGCGATTTAATCAGGTACTGTTGATGTTTAATTTTTTTTATTCAAAGTTCTTAAGTATAAATCCCTTATTCCATTAATTTATTGTTTAGGATGTCTGAAAAGTCTAAGGATATTGTGGCAGCTGACCCATGCGAAGAAGTGAACGATCGAGCTGACTCTAACACAACTAGATTTGATGAACCAAGTTTATCCAAAGATTCAGAAGTTTTGCTTACACAGATTAAAGATCTTACGATTATGACTCAAAAATGTGCAGAAGACACATGCAATGAAGTAAATGATCTACGTCTAGGTGACTCTACCACAACTAGAACTGATGAACCAAATTCATCCGAAGATTCAGCGGTAAGTTCAATTTTAATTATCAATCATGATAACATGATGAACTCTAGATACTGATGTACTACATGAATGACATAGTATACTATAGTACTATACAGTAAATTTACTAGTGTCTATGATTGCTTGCATTGTGACTTGCATCGTACTATTTCAATTTCGAACAATTTTTTTAAATTTCTAAATATTTTCTTATGTTCATTACTATTTTAATTCTTATGTTCAGCTATTTTTTTTTTTTTTTGGACTATGCTGTTTAATTTTAATACTTTATGAAACTAAACCAACAAAAAATTTCAATTCCAGGCAAATCGTAACAAGTTGGCGATTGTTGTTAAAGAAAAAAGTCCAACAATATTGACCAAGAGAGGATCATTCACATGTGAAATTTGTCATCAATCATTTTTACGCAGGGCAAATCTGAATGTACACATCAAGTCTAAACACGGTTCTAGTGAACCATTTCATTGTAACGATTGTTCCAAATCATTCGCAAGAAAAAGTTACCTTATCTCTCATATACAAGTAGTACATAATCCTATCAAGCCATTTGAGTGTAAAATTTGTCAAAAATCATTTGGTCTTAGAAACATTTTAATGAAACACATGACAGTGCATGAAGATATAAGACCATTCAAATGTGGAACTTGTCAAAAAGAATTTAAACGAGAAGGTTGCCTCAAAAACCACATAATCGAAGTACACCAAAGTAGCAAGGACGATCGTCATGCATGTAATTTCGAAAATTGTACCAGCTCATTTTCACGGAAAAGTGGCCTCACTAAACACATAAACTCAGTACATAGTGAAAGTAAACCTTTTGCATGTAATGAATGTGACAAATCATTTCATCGCAAGGATGCTCTCAAAGTTCACAAAGCAGTACACAAGGACGAGGAAATTTGTGAAATTTGTGATAAATCATATTCATCTAAGAGTGCTTTTAAAAAACATATGAGTAAAAAACATGATCAAAGCCGACAAAGTGAGAAATATCACAAGTCATTTGGAAAAAAAAGTGAGCTAAAATCGAATGTAAAATTAGTGCATAATGAGATAAAAACCTTCATATGTGATTTATGTGAAAAATCATATTCATCTAAGAATGCGATTAAGAAACATATAAGTAAAAAACATGATGAGAGCAAATGTGTCTAGTGTGATGTTTGTCATGAATTCCATAAAGCTAGGAGCTATAAATCAATGAAGTGCAGAATTCTCTTCCAACGTCACATGTCATTGGAACATAATAATAAAAATCCCATGGACCCTAAGCATTGTCGTGGTATGTAAATGTGTCCTTTTTAACATAAATATTTTATTTTAATTTCGTAAAAAAATGTTAGCTTTTCATAATTTTATCTGTATACATTTTGATTATTTATATCAAAAAATTTTATATTCGTCATTTTTGTTACCACTGTAAAATGTGCGTTAATTGCGAATAAATGTATTAAAAACACGTCTTGGATGTAGTTTATTCAAATATTTTGAATTTTTTGTAAACCTTTTCCAAAATCCCAAACTCTTGATGCACTCTGAAAAATTCCAAAATTTTCCAAATATTTCAAATGTGTGATGATTTTTCGTATCCTAATGCATTTATTTTAATAAGTGATGCTGCAAAGACAAAAATACACATCTGTGATTTGTGTGGTAAGTCCTGTGCACTAATGAGAAGTCTGGAATTATGTATTGATTCAATACACAATCGTATTCACGGTTAAGCATGATTTTGGGACCTCGATGAACAATTATCAACTTCCACTAAGCGCGTTCAACGAAAAAAATTTATGACATATTTTTATAGAGTTGCTCATATAACACTTTATGAGTAGGGGGATGTGGAAAAAAGACGTTCTTGAGGCTCGGCTCGAGCTGTGCAGCTTGTGAGCTGTGCAGCTTGTGAGCTTTTGCAGCTAACGGCGTGGCTACCTGCGCTCGAGCGGTGTCATATAGTAAACGTATTCATACAGGTTCGCGATTGTCAAGTATACATAAGTATGAGATTATAACACGGCGTTGATTATCCTTCCCATTTTTTATTATTACCTACATGTACATATACCAGCATATACGAGACAGATACACGAGGCGTTCCTTATTAGGCTGCCACCACAGCTACATTATATTATGGTATTCGCGAAACTGCGATCGATTTAGCGGCCCGTTTTAAAGAGCAACGCGTGCATTTATCTTGCAAAATATCTCTTGCTCATTCGCTAACACTATTGGAAATGGATTATATGCTCGAACTTTCCTTTTCAATCATCAGCGACGGCAGCACCCGGTAATTTATATAATATTCTCAAACATCGTGTCGTACACGTTGTTGTTGTTTTTTCCGCGAAACATCGGCAATCGAGGGCCGCGTGTATATGTATAGCCACTGTGGGTCGTGTTGAGCTCGTCGGAAAAACGTAAAAAATGTATGGATTTCACACTTTGCTTGAGCAACGGAGGAGTTGCGCTGACCATGCATCTGCTGAAATTCATCGCAGGATAGCACCATTTTTTTATCGGGGCATCGTAAAGCTGTTGTTAATATGCAGAAATTAATTAGAAAATTTACGATTAGCTTTGAAATAAATTGCTTTTATAAACAAACATAAATAAAGTTCATTAATAATTTATCAAAGAGAATGTCATTTTTTGAAATTGTTCTATGATCAAGATAGGCCGAGAACTTTTCATTGAACTGTTTATTATCCAACCATTGATAATCGTAATAATAGCTTCATTTTTACATTTTTATTATACCAGAGACTAATATAAGAGTCTTGCAACAAGTAAGACAAATTTATGTTGCGGTCGTAAGTAAATAATTAATTTGTTATGATGATTCGACGAAAACTTGTAATGAGAGTAAAAAAAAGCGTTGATATTAATTAAAAATTTAGAATCAAATTACAGGAAAAAAGTTTAATATTCGAAAAGAAATCCTTTATTTGTAAGACCAAACAAGAATTTTTTATTGTTTAACAAGCTCTATTTTTGCCTTGTAATTGTAACGGATACCAATGTGAGAGTCCGCGTTAACTAGGGATTTTTTTATGAAAAAAATCTACGTTTTCGCATGCACGTAAATTATTAATTTGTAATTTAAATGCTGCGTTATAAGAGTAAGTGTAACAAACAATGCTGTATTTCTTATGATTTTCATTTCATTTTATGAAGTACAAAATTATCTTTAAGAAAATGTCTATACTTATGCCACAAAAATGCGAAAGAAAGATTTACCCTTCATGACTAAATATTGGATCAGACACCCGGAATGGTTTGGTCGAGTCTCCAACCCGGCTCGACGACCACTCCGCATGCACCGATGGCAGAGGCGGATGAATCACGAGTGTGGATCTCTGTTTCTCACGCTAATTGTTGTTGGCACGCCCGGTCTCGAGTTGCAGTTTTATACGCAGAGATTAGTTTTTGAGGAAATGCATCCGTTGCCTTGCGAGTGTCCTTACTCCAAGACGGTCGCCAGCACACTATATTTTTTTCTTTTGTCTAGATTAGATTGTTTTTTTTTTCTACTCATCAGGCCTCGCGAACATCTCACCGAGCTTGGACAATTTCTCACGTTCTCTCTGCTTCTTTTTCGAGAAGCTTTTATAAAATCAGGCAGCTTTTGAGCGACGCACTCGTACTATTTAACGCAGCATCGTGTGGATTTGTGTACGCTTATACGTGTGTGCGCGTGTGAAAAAAGTAGGCCCCGCCGCGAATGCTATACTTATCTATTTATGTAAGTTAAAATTGGCCTCTATCGATCAAGCGCGCGGTGAATCGTTAGAATCCACGTGCGGTGCACTATGTATGTGAAAAAGAGAGACTGTGCGGCGATCGCTCATAACGACCACTGTATATATATACCTACATATGTGTGTGTACTGCATACGGCTCTAATGGAAAATCTTTTTTTAATTACGATAACTTCTGAGGATTATCAGCAATGGGGTACAACATGTTACGGCCTGTCCAAGTGAAAGATGAAAAATGACGGCCAAGCGCTCTTTTCTCGTTCGCTCTTTTATTTATATTTATTTTTTTTTCTATCAACTATTTCATCGTCGGTAATTTCCATGTATTTTCATCGAATTTATTACACGTGTATATCGGACGTCGTGCTTGTACAATCAAGTTTTATACGAGCTGTGGCGTGGCTAAATTGTGTAGTATCTCGATGCTGGCGTAGGCTCGCAAATTGCCGTACGCCTAACTATTTCGATAGAAAAATACCTCCTCTCTCTCTCTCTCGAGATTGACTGGCTGCAATGCAGCTACTCGATGCTGCTACTCGCTTACAGTGCGCACTTACACACACAAACACGTGTCTGCATATGTACGCGCGTGCATCATCCCCGCCGCCGCGCGTGTATCGGAGACGACCGGGGTATAAGAGGATTTAGCCGGAATCGACGAGTCAAATTAAATACAGGATATAGACGTATGGACTTTTTCGCGTTAAGCAATTATATACGTGCGTGCGTCTGTGTGTGTGTGTGTGTGTGTGTGTGTGTGTGTGTGTGTGTGTGTGTGTGGGTATCGCATGATCGTGACGCGCAGCAGTACACGCGAAGAACGCGCATACCTAAACTTTCTCGTGGTTGCGCGCGAGCTGCAGCGACAATTTATAATATCGATCGATCGGTCGGTCGTGTGTAGAAGCTGCGCAGTACATCGGTATCTGTTCTGTGGTACATAAAACTTCAAATTTCACGATCGGTTAATTCGATCGACTCTCGGCGCTATAAAGATGCGTAGAAACCAAATGGCAGTGGAAATCAATGAAAAATCATTTTTATATCCTATATTCAGTGTATATTTGCATTTTTTTCTCATAATGTATAAACGTATATGACACTTTCTGTACAACGATATAATTGTATTATATAATAATAAGCTTCTCGTGCTGCATGTACGAGGAGGAGCTCGTGTGCGTCGCAACTCTCGTGCTCGCCTAGATTTTTCGACGAGATTGAGGAAACAAAACATATCGATCTTATTTTATATAATATTACGTACACACGTCTATTACAATGATATCGAAACGGAATATATTACAAAGTACTTTTTTCGTATCATTACTGTTTAACATTTATATAGGTAGTAAAACGTAGCTTATTCAGACAAACGTAATTTGTTTTACACGTAATTAAAATCATTGATTGATAGGTACAGGCTACGGCGAAATTGTACAAACTAAAGGTAACGAGCGCCCATTTCCCTCCTCTCTCTCTCTCACTTTTCGTCTTAAACGCTAATTACAATTTATGTATACTTTATATTTATATATTTATAAAAACACATGCGTGCGATTCGTCGTCGTTGATGCTGTCGCTCAATCGTTCAGCCATCATCGGGACAATCGCGTATAAGTAAAATAACATAATCAATAATAAATTTGTAGTATAATTTTCCTCGTCTAAGGTATTTTATAAATTGTATAATCGGTAACCTCGTTTTGTAAAAATCACATTCGCACACTAGATATAGCTTTTATTTCTTACACGTGTAATGTTTATACAGTACGATTTTTGACCACCAGTTCGAGTTGAGGGTAAAAAAAATTAAGACATGTAAAATGTAATGTCGGGGTTTCGACCAATTAAACATTTTTTTTTGACGTTCGGTGGGATTCGTTGAATCGGCGCATGGAGAATTTCCAGGGCTTAAAGAAAGAGAAACATAATCATAGTAAAAGATGAGAAAAAAACAGAGAGAGAGGTAAAATATAGAGGTGAGTAATAAAAATAATAGTGGTTCGAGGAGAGGAAGCTAAATCCGAAAACGACATATAAAACCGCGTTCGAGAAGTAATCATAAGTTTATCGTAACATTAAAAATCGTATTTCTCTGCTTTTACGTAACGACGTGTGTGAGATTGTGTTTTTTTTTAAGGAACGTACTTATCATTTTCTTTTTTAACGTCATGATGATCGTAGGATACATTGTGCATCGATAAAACGTAATACATGTATAAAAGAGGGCATCGTCGTCGTCTATTGTTTTTCCGCGACAGCACAGCACAGAGAATCATGAGAATAATAAAGAAGAGTGAAGCGCCCTTACGTATATAGATATATTTTATAAATATATACGTACCGATCTTGAACGAAACGAGAGAGAAAAAAATCTTATGGTATTGTTCAATCGCTTCGTTCGCCCGACCGAATGAAAAATCGTCTTCTCATCGTTTTACTTCATGGCCGTCGCACCTCGCTACATATCATCATCGTGTGTGTTATCATTAATATTATTTTTCAAAGTAATGGTCCTCGATTCTTCTTTCTTTTCTGTTTTTTTTTAAATATACAATATATTTTTACAATGGCGTAAGTCACAGTTGGTAATTTCGTTATTCTCAACGATGTAAGTATGAGCTACGGTACAATAAGTTTCAACGCGCAAAAAGTAACCCAATGACATTTCAATCGCGGAACAATCGCATCCATGAATATCTTCGGGGAAAATTTCGACGAAATGTTATTTACAGCGTGCGCCGGCGGCTTGCATCGCATAGATATGGACGCATTTGGATAAGCTCGATATGCACAAACACACACATTCGAAAACCAGTAAAACTTGAATCAGCGCACTTTTGCTCCGCTTGTGGAGGATCGAGAGAAAAATAACGTGATGAATGTTTTCTAGTACATATAGAATTTTGCTCCAGGCAATAATAGCAATAATAGTAATAATCGTTATAAAAATAATTTAATATCAATTCATAACAGCAATATAGTGGTATACATAAAAATAAATTATCTCTTCGAAATTAACAAATGTATTTACAAGGACACCTTGTCTTAAGAGTTACGCGTACAAATAATTTTTGGCGTGCTTTTTTCTACTTCTCCAATTTGTCGAGAAAAAAAAGACATTACTTATTTCCTTTTTCCTTAATTCTTTCCTTCTTTTTATCGCTTGCAAAAAGTCACTGTCTGTCCGCACCAATGGCTCGCAAGTGAAAATGTACTCTTTTCGCGTGATTTTTCACGCGCAGCGTGTTGTGTGCTTGCGGCTCTACATTTACAATTACATGTATGCATGCGCTCGGATATACAAATACATATTACATATAAAAGATCGTATCGAAAAGTCGCGCGAATACAATAAACTTTATAAAGAGTGATGGCGTCGTAAGATAGATAGCCTAAAAACACACACACGTACACGAATACACGGAGAGAGAGAGAGAGAGAGAGAGACTCCTGCACGAGAGTGTGAGTGAGTATAGATTTTCGCAACTGTGGAACGAGGAGTGGCGATTTTGTGGGAAGTTTTTCGGTGTGTATTTAATTTCGTAACCCCACGTAGTCTCTCTCTCTCTCTCGCCTGCGCATAAAAACGAGACTCTCCGTAAGCTTTATCGGAGCTCTCCTCCTTGCCGTGTTTACTACACGTACCGACCATTAATTATAACAATGACGATAGCTCAATACGTACATACAAACGTGCAATATTTTTTCATTTTCGCCCGAAGCTCGAGAGAGAAGTATTAATTTATGTACAACGAATCGCGTCGACTAATCGATCCGTGGCGCATCGATTGCATCGAAGGGTGCGAGTGTTCTCGCGCACGCATACATACACAAACGACGGAAGTAAAGTTTGCTATTACGTTATACGCACTAAGAAAAAATATATATCTACACACAAACGACGAGGCTCGAAAACGAACACCCAATTGCACAGAGTGAAAAAAAAAGAAGTGAATAGTGCGACTGCCTCTCATGTGCTGCTGCTGCTGCTGTTGCTGTTGCCGAGTTGCACATACGTCTCTCTCGCGAGTTCAAATACAGTAATAGCTAATATTCTTGGCGGCGAGAGTTGCTCAAAAAAGGGCTGCGTGGGAGAGAAACGAATTCCGATCTGTTTTTCTCTCTTTGGATATTGTGTGTGTGTTATGAGACGCGTATAAAGAGTCGATGGGCTCACGAAGCTCTGCTCGAAAGAAAAGAGAAAAGAGAGAGAGAGAGAGAGAGAGAAGTGTGCACACAGATACACAGAGACAGGAAAGGTGCGCAGGTAACAAGCCGCCAGAGGAGAATCTGTGTGTTCTACTTTCGTTGCTGGCACTAAGGGAACCACCCGTGAGTTAAGAGCTATATCACATACACACGTGCAAGTTTGCTCAATCTTCTTCTCACTGATGCCGAGGCTCGAGGTGCAACGGGAGAAATGTGTCTCGTTACCTTGTTTCGTTTAGCGTTAGAGAGAGAGAGAGAGAGAGAGAGGGAAAGAAAAAAAAGAGAGAGAAAGAAAGAAAAGAGAGAGAGAGAAAGAAAGAAAGAGAGAAAATGAAAAAGGAACATGATAATCGTAAACGGTCGAAATGAAAATTTTTGAGTGATCGAGATGGTGCTGTTGATGCTGTATCTTGTACACATATTTATATGCACAACAGGCGAAACCAGTTGAATGAAATGCGGCAGTAGCAGCGGCAGAGCAGGGTTTTTTCGGACGCGCATGAGTGATCAGCTTCTCTCTCGTTCCTTTTTTTCCGGGATATTATAAGAGTCTCCTGAATACCTTTCGATCAGGATGACAAACGAGGAAGAGAGGCTCGACGCGCGCACAGCTGCTGATGCTTTTGCTGCTGCTGGCGTTGGCGAGTAGAGGAGAGCTTTTTGTTTATAGGATCGCGCGAGAGCTCTGACACTCGAACGCGTCCTTAATAACGTTGGAAAGAGCCAATCGAGAAGGGATTAGAGGCCCATCATTGAAAAATGAATGTTGCTGCGTGCACCGCTCGCGGCCACTGCAGTTGATGCACCGTTGTCGTAAAAACACTCGGGTGTGTGTGTGTGTGTGTATACGCGTGTGTACGTGTACATCGGTACACACGATGTAAAATGTAAGTAGAAAGGCGTATGCTCTCGCTCGCTCGCAGAAAACAAAACAAGACGGAGCAACAAAAAGTAAAGAATTGCGCGCGCTTTGCTCGACAAAAACGAGCTGCGAGTATAGAGTAGCTTAACTGCAACTGCAGCAGCAGCAGATAGAGAGAAAGGCGGATAATTGAAGGCGTTGTATATCGAAAAGTATCGCCACTGCAGCTCGCGCGCGCGGGACTCTCTGTCTCTCTCTCTCTCTTTTCTTCTGCCAGCTCGCGGAGCTACGGAGCGCGGAGAGTGCTGCTGCTTCTTTATTGCGTTTCACTTTCGCGATGCGCCTGATCGGGCTCGCCGTCGCCGCCGCCGCCACCGACACAGCCGCAGCAACTGTACCTTTCCTGCGCGCGACGAGACTCGGCTGCTCGCGTGCATATAGTAATACGGTATATGTACAGCGGATAGGTATATTATATCTGTATATATCGGCCGAGCGAGTTAAGGCGTGGCATCGTGCAGTAGTGGCTGCTACAGCGGCCAACATAAAGTGTAACGCAACGCTCGAACGAGAGGTCATCGTCTGAAATATAAGAAGCACCGCTAATTCTCTCTATATACATGCATATAGGAGCAGCAGCAGCAGTATAGCATGCTGCGATATCGCGAGCGCGGATTAGAACATGTCTCTTTCTCTCTCTCCCTCGGCTACTATTTTTTTTCTTTTGCTTTTGCACGCGAGAAAGTTAAAATGTATCGATGCACATGTATATGTACGCACGCACAGACACACACACACACACACACACACACACACACACATAACTAGTATAAGCACGCATTTATTGCGTAGGTATCTATACATGCAGTTTAACGCACGCGGAGTCCGATCAAGACCCGCTCCAGTCGTTTTCAATGTATCATTGTGTAAATGGTATATCGAGCCTACATAAAATGTTTATTATACACACACGCGCGCGCACAATATGTTTTTATCGCTATTTATGAACACATTAGCTATGTATCGAGTTTATCAATTATTATTTTCGTTTCAGTCGGATACACGATGGTCGTCAAGTGTTATTAGCCGTGGGTGACGCGGTGGTACTTCTCTGCTGTTGTTGGTGCAGCTGCTGCTCCGCTTCATGGACGCTGCCGTCTTGATCGCTACTGCTCGACCTCGAACTGAGATTTTCTCGATCGCTCAAGTATTCAGCCGTGGCTGCTGCCGCCGCTGCAGCTTGCGCTCGTTTGCTGTGTGTCTGCTGGTGCTGCTGCTTGTCGCCGCTCCAGGCCGACGACGATCTCGTCGTCTGATGCTCGGGCCCTGAGTCGGCGCTCGCGGCGTTGGCCAGCAGTCCGGGAAAGTAAGGAAGGGCAGCCGCAGCCGCAGCAGCCGCCGCCGCGGCCTGATTCCTCGACGTGATCTTGCCCATGAACGAGCGTATCTCCTCGAAGTACGAGTCGTCGGAGGTGCGCTGGGGCAGCTGACCGTGATACCTCGTGCGCACCTCGTCGAGTATCGTCGGGCCGTCGGCGTCGTGCTTTTTCAGATGCCGATCGAGATTCGTCTGCTGGCCGAAGCATCGCTCGCACAGCGGACACTTGAACGGCTTCTCCTTGTTGTGTATGTTGCGCACGTGACGCTGCAGATTGCTCGAGATGCTGAAGCTGCGCTCGCAGTACTTGCACTTGTAGGGCTGCTCGCCCGTGTGGGTGCGCAGGTGCCGCGTCAAATTGGCCGAGCGCGGGAACACCTTGCCGCAGAACTTGCAGGAGTAGCGGTCCTTGGGCTTGTTGCTGCTGGGCGGCCCGGAGGTCGCTGGCGAGCTGTAACTGGGGCCACCGCCGTTGCTCTGACTCGAGCTGGCCGTCGTGCTGGGCTCCGCCGCGACGAGGATCGGTGGAGACGAGGTGGCGGTGCGCGTCGACGAGGGCGACGCCGCTGCCGACGCCGCGAACCGGCTGCTCGGCAAAGGAACCATCGTTGGCAGTGCTCGGACCTGAATCTTGGGCATTTCCGGCACTATGGGTGGGGGCTGCGACTGCCTCTCGTGTTGCTGATGCTGCTGCTGCTTCTGAGAGCTTCGGTACATGGCTTCGAGCACGAGGGGATGCACCCCGTGGTGCGCGACTTGCGGCCCGAACAAAACAGCCGCCGAGTGGTAACTGGAGAGTGGCCCCGGCTGGGCTGTCACTTGTGGCTCCGCCGACGAGGTGCTGCTCCGCGACGGACTGCCGAGGCTGTTCTGATTCAGCACCTCGATGTCGTTCTGATTCTCGTCCCGCAGTCCCTCCTTCTTGTGTTCGAGGCGCAGATCCAGGGGTTGCTCGACGTCCACGTCCATGTCGGAGCTGGAGCCGCCGCAGGTCAGGTGGGGCCTAGCCGCCGGACTCATGCGCGGCTGATGCGCCGACGAGGTGGAGCTGGTCGTGCTCGAGGACGAGCCCCTCGCCTGCTGCTGGGTGTGGCTGCTCAGGTCGTAGGGCAGCATGATGTCGATGCCGGTCGAGGTGGCCGACTGCTCGACGGCCGTGCTGGCCACCTGACGACTGTGGTGCAGGTGGTGCTGATGGCTGCTGCTGTGATGGTTCTGGTGGTGCTGATGGGGATGATGGTGCTGCGACGACTGCAGACTCAGCGGGTAGATGCTCGCCTGCTTGGGACTTATGTGGCCGGGCATCTTCCGGGGGCTCGAGTCTTTTTCTCGCATGGCTGCTACGAAGCCGCTCGTCGCCGTCGTCGTGGTCCGCTTGTCGGCTCTGCTGTCCTCGTCGTCTTCTCGTTCACGTCGACGGCGGCACAGGCCGAGGTACTCGTTCATATCACAGTCTCGCTCGCCGCCGGCTCCTCTCGTCACGTACGGCAGTCTTCGCACCTCACGAAGACCCGCTGTTTCTCTAGCTCTGGCCAGGTTATACTGCTCGATGTGTCGACTAAATCACGCTAGTTCTTCGCTGCTGCTTCTGATGCATCTGTCTACCTGTAAAAATCACAAGAGCCAAATATTTAATCCAGATATCCAGATAATAAATTAATCGATTGATCTATATATTATTCTAGGGAGATGGAGCATCGCGTTAAATTGGCTATCTAGGCGAAAAGTCGGTGTATGACAGGTGTAATAATCTACATCGCGTATCACGTACTTATAACGGCGAGCTAGATTTCTCCGATCTCGACGCGTCGAAGGTGAAAACGACGCGTGCAAGTAGCACTGGTCTATACGAGAGTATGCGTATGTACTTGCAGTGCCGAGTTAAGTAGTATCAGCGCACCTATAGCGCACAATAGCTCCGATTTAGATTATACGATTTTATTACCGACATAATATTGAACACGCGCGTAAATGTTTACAGTATACATTATTATGCCTTCGTGATCGAGCAGACACACACAAGCACACAGGTACACGCTGTATAATAGCGATCTCCGCGCGAGTATTGTAAATGACCAGTGAAAGTTTTTTTCATCAATGGGAAATATCCGCATAAACGCGTATACATACATACGTATTTGTATGTGTATCTGGCCGAGCTCGAGAGCGTTTGATGTCTCTATAATGCCACTCCGTAGCACATGCGAGTGCGCCGCTCGACGTACTATAATAATGTATCGGTGTGTGTGCGTATATATGCATGTGCATGTACGCGCGCAATTGCCATACCTTATCATTAAGCGTATAAGGGTATATAATGCAGGCACGCGGCCATGGGGACTACTCGCTCAAAAATTTCCGAGTCAATTACGCATGAAACTGGGCGAGAAGCTGCAATTTCTGCATCAGTCGGCGGCGCTGCGCGTCCATACTTGCGGCTGGACTGTGCGGGACTGCATATCCTATATATATTCGTCGAAAACGACTTAATGTCTTGATCGCGTATATACGTTTCGCCCGGGATCCGTTCGACTTTCGTAATTGGGTAGAGATATATATGTGTGTGTGTGTGTGTGTGTGTGTGTGGGTATATGCGCAGAGCACGCAAAATACAAGCGAGAAGAGGTACAAAAGGTACGACGAAGAGAAAAAAGAGCTCCAGAGAGAAAGAGCGCATTCCTCAATTTCATGTGTTGTATTATATACGCAGCGATCGCGTTATGAAAGTATTAGTCTCTCTGTCTGTCTCTCATTTGACGCGTTAATGATCGGGTGTTGTCGCGCCGTCGCCTGTCGCGAACTGCACGTTTGTTATTTTCATTTAGCTCGTCTCTCGGAGGTTTCGTAACCATTACACGCTTATGTTATTACTATATAGGTACGCACATAATAAGAGTGCCGTATATACGCGCGTCGAGACATTATTCTCACTCGCGCGGCTATTAATTCGGGCTGTTTTTCTTTCGGGGCTATATGTAACGCGCGAATACTAATTGTACGTCGCCTTGATGGGATGAGCGCAGGCCAAAGTTATTTTATACAGCGTCCAACGAAAGGATATCGCGAGATGGTGATGACTCGAGAGAAAAATTATACACAAATGATGCAGACGCGTGATTTTTCCACTAACAAGACTGACTGAACATTTTCTAATACATCGTTTACCAGGAAATTATGATTCTTATTATTTTATGAGTGCGAGGGCCAACGATTGCCGATTGAATATTGCATATTTATTGGTGTCATGGAATATACTGAGAAACTTTCAAAATAAAAATGTGTATGTTTTTTAATAAAATTTATCATTCTGTGTCGTGAAGTTGAAACAAAGTTAAGCGATAAATACTATTATACTATATATCTACTATCTATTTCACATACTTCAATAAACATTTTCATTAAATTATTAATTTTATATACTTCAAGCATTCATCAAGTTATCAAAATTTCATTTATTTACTCCCGTAACTTTTTTCTTATATATTAGTGCTTCAAAGCGCCCTTGGAGCATACCATCGCATAATGCAATCTACTTGCAACTATAAATGTCATGACTCATGTCGATTGGTCATCATTATTGAATTTGTCCCGAAATTAATAATATGTGACTTTAACTGGGTCTTCAAAAAATTTAATATATTAATAAATATAAAAGACGGGATGACCCTTCAAACGATTCCATTTCACTTGCTGATAGTCCTGAAATGGTTTCGCCGAGACTTAAGCCTCGATTTAACCACTCCACTGGCAGCGAGGCGGATGCTTTAAACCATGCTGCCATCACAGATGGACATTTTTTTGGACTAATTTTAAAAATTTTACATTAGTGCTCCCTTTTTTAGTGATTTGATTATCAGAAACCAATATGAGGATTCACTAATCGAATACAACAATTTTGTCAAGTCATTCTAACTAGTCATTATTTCATTAAAAAATTTATGTTGTAGTAGTATGTAAATCATGAATTTTCAATTTAAATATCTGCGTTGTGAGAGTAAGCGAAACGAAAAATGCTGTATTTCTTATGATTTTTATTTCATTTTATGAATAATAAAATTATCTTTAAGAAAATGTCTATACTTCCCCCACAATGAGTAGTTGTGGAAATGCGAAAGAAAGATTTACCCTTCATGACTAAATATTGGATCAGACACCCGGAATGGTTTGGTCGAGTCTCCAACCCGGCTCGACGACCACTCCGCATGCACCGATGGCAGAGGCGGATGATTTGGGCCACTCTGCCACCAGATGCACATTTATTTCATCTAGTTTTTGTAGTTTTATATGACTACTTTCTCTTTCTGTGATTATGTTTCACTTGACTGGCTTCCCAATTGCCTCTCGAGCTCGTCACGCCAACTATTGTCAACTGGGAGTACAATCAAAGCTATGATTCGACCATTTATCTCAGGAGTCACGTCGCCTTACGAGCTCCACTTATACGTACATACTTCGCGATATATCTATTTTTTTGCCCGCTTGTCGTGGCCCAGAGTTTTAGCTGTTTTTTCACGTTCCTATTCTCATGGTCAGATATTCTGTTGGTTTAGAGTGTGTTTATGAATCACGAGTGTGGATCTCTGTTTCTCACGCTAATTGTTGTTGGCGCGCCCGGACCCGAGTTGCAGTTTTATACACAAAGATTAATTTTTGAGGAAATGTGTACGTTGCCCTGCGAGTGTCCTTTCTCCAAGACGATCACCAGCCTAAAATGTACTTTTCTTTTGCCAAGATTAATTTTTATGTAAAGATGAATTTCATAATACATTTTTTTTCTAACTGGGTAATGAGTCGAATTCATTTCGCTTCTCTTTTCAATAATCGAAATTAGACAATATTTTCATGTGATGCAAAACATTAGTGATGTATTTGTATAGTGAATTTCTTTAGCGAAGTACTTTACGGTCATATACTTTTAATCAGCCGCCATGTAGTGGATGTGTACATAGTTAATAATTGTAAATGTACCGTAAGTACAGAGAACTTAAGGGAAATTGTGTATCATTAGAAAAAGTGTGTTACGTGTGAAAAATTTTTCTCATACCCATACGCACAGCCGATAATTGTCATTTCGCGAAATGGTAGAAATTATCAATGCGAAATACAGTCTAGTCTAAAATTTATGTATATCGCATACATACTATACATCTATATTTGTATATATCTATCATATATATAGAAAGACTCGAGCTGCTGCACATAGATAAGCCATTGCAGCGACATACACATTCAGTGCATAAACGGGGTATAAATTTCTCTTTCATCTGCACGCAAGAATCTGCACGTGTTTGTGTGTGTGTGTGCGTGCGTGCTATGTGCAGCGAAGTACGTGTGTGGTTGCAACTAGAGGATGCACAAACACAGACTCGTAAACACACATACACGTACTAGCGAAAGAAAGAGAGATAAAGAGAGAAAGAAAGAGAACGAGAGAGAGAGAGAACCTTGCCTTCTAACTGGAGCAAAGCAACGGTACTCTCACTCGACCACTCCTGCATCAGCATCAGCAGCAGCAGCATCAGCTTTGGATGCTGTACTGCAGCTTCTCTCTTTGCTGCTCTTTTTACGTGTGTATCTACCACTAACACATACAGAGATACAGAGCGCCAGGAGCAGCAGCAGCAGCAGCAGCAGCATCAGGAGCCAGTATTATAAATCATTGGTGGCCGCGCGCCGAGGCGCACTGCGCACACGTCTGCACGCGCTGCTGCTTCAAATTGAAAATCGTTGAAAATGATCATTAGCGAACGCGAACTTGTATACGCGCGCTCATGCCATATACATGCGTTATATACGTTCACATGCATCGTAGCTCTATATGCACACATTGGTAGGCCGGACATTAATGCGCGCCGGTCGATACAGGTGGTAAAAATGCGCGAGATATCCTTGTCACCGGGGAGCTGCCTAATAATCGTCGTTATTAATTATCATAGATACGAGCTGAGAGCCTGCCTCACGCGCGTGTGTACATGCGTGCACAGAGAGAGAGAGAAGAGTATGTCCGAAGGAAAATCGCCATACATCGGAACCGGTCGAGGAAATTTTCAATTACACGCGAGCGCGTCTCGAGGCGGCAGCAGCAGCAGCATCGGCGACCAGAGTGAGAGAGAGAGAGAGAGCAGCGTCATAATAAACAGTTTCATTTCCAAACGTTTATTCATACGACCTACATCCTTTCTTTTATAAACCACGCGAGGGAAACCTGCGAGCAAATGCGCGCGCGGGCACGCCGCATGGAATTGCACAAATTTTCCGTCCGCGCGCGCATATAACGTCTAGACCGCTGGAGGCTTCATTATATCGTACATGTGTGTGTGTTTGTTTGTATACTTTTTCAGGAAGATGAGAAGTTCGGTTTAAATGCAGCGGAGCTTCTTTTTTGGGGCCTGGCGTATCCCATATATGCGGTAGCCGGTGCAGTGCGCCGCGCGTGCGTGAAAGTTCCCGAGCTACGCTAAATATTTATAAAAGGCAATTTGATCGTTATAATTCTGCAGAAAAACTAATGATGCACGCGTGCGTGTGCAGGAGAGTTGGAAAGAGATAGAGAGAGAAAAAAAGAGACGTCTTGGACGACGATCGGAGGAGGAGGATTTTTCAGT